TCACTGGGCCACCCTGCCATAATCATGCTGCATTGTTCGCGAAGCATGAGCGTCGGAATCAATAATTGGGCTTTGGTCACATCGATTGTAAAATTCATGCATCCATGTCAATCAAGCCGCATCGTTCGCTAATTGTGAATGTCGTAATCGATTATGGGGTATTGGCCACATTGATTGTAAAATGCGTGCACCCATGTCAATCATGCCGCATCGATCGCGAAGCGAGTCAGCCACATTGATCATAAAATGCGTGAATCCGGGTCGATCATGCCGCAAAGTTCGATCAGAATTGATCATTGGGCATTGGTTACATCAATCGTAGAATGCTTGCATTTGTGTCAATCGTGCACATCGTTCCCGAATCGTGAATGTCTGGATTGATCATAAAGCATTGGCCACATCAATCGTAAAATGCGTGAATCCATGTCAATCATGCCGCAGCAATTGCGAATCGTGAACGTCGGAATTGATCATGGGGCATCGGCCACATCGATTGTAAAATATGTGCATACATGTCAATCATGCCGCATCATTCGCGAAGCATTAGCATTGGAATCGATTATTGGGCATTGGCAAAATCGATCGTAGAATGCTTGCATTCATGTCAATCACGCCGCATCCTTCGTGAATCGTGAGCATCGGAATTTATCATTGGACATTGGCCACATCGATCACTGAATGCTTGCATCCATGTCAATCTTGCTGCATCGTGAGCGTCGGAATCGATCATGGAGCATCGGCCACATCCATCGTAAAATGTGTGCATCCATGTCAACCATGCCACATCGTTCGAGAAGCACGAGCGTCAGAATCGATCATTGGGCATTGGCCACATGACACATTGATCGTAAAATGTGTGCATCCGTGTCAATCATGCCGCATCAATCGCGAAGCGCGAGCTTCAGTATCAATTATTGGGCATTGGCCACATTGATCGTAAAATGCGTGCATCTATTTCAATTATGCCACATCATTGGCAAAGCGTGAGCGTCGGCCATATCGATCGTGAAATGCGTGCATCCATGTCTGGCATTGATCGTAATGCGCAGACGTCTATGTCGATCATTGATTGAAGCGCGGGTGTCTATGTCGATCATCTTGCAACCGCCGCATTGATCGTGCTAGTACGCGCAATCATCAGGCATCGGTCAGAGATGCACTTTCGTTTTTCTAGCAAACATAGTGGCAACTTTCTCCCCTGGCGTACTGGTGGTGTGCATGGTAAACTTCTGGCGCTTATGCAAGTCGCAACACCTTCCAGACCATGGGCAATCAATTTTGGCGTCCTCGCCGTCCGTTTGCTGTAAACATCGGCGTCCACCGTCCGTTTAGATGGTGCCTTGGAGTCTTTTGGGCAGAAAAACGGCGTCCTCAACCTATGTTGTGCCATACTCTACAGACTGGGTAACATAGACCAGCTTGGAAGTTAATATAAAATTACCATATATAACATATTTTATGTTTGACAGCCTAGGGTAAACGCGGTATATTCCGACACATTAAGGATGCATCAAGAAATGAAAAACTATAAAAAATAACCATATGCGTTACTTGAGTTCTGTTTGCTTTATGTGACTTTCAAAACACCATACTACACGCCAGCAACAATGAAACGTCACAAAATGTTGCCATATTTATTTAAAAGCCTTTAGAATGCAAACCTGCCAAATCCCTATATTCCGACACTGTGTGTGGCAATATTCGGCACGTGGTGAGGCGTATTCTGTCCGTGCTTCAAATTCTACTGATACGTAATGCCATCATCCACGTGTTTGAATTCTGTTCGCTGTGTGAGCTGTATTGTAATACAACATGGCTTTGAATCAGGGTTGGCAATGATTAAATCAAAATGATTAAATCATGTGATTAAATCACTTGATTTTTTTATAAAAAAATCATGATTTTTTTGATTTTTTCGATTTTTTTGATTTTTTTGATTTTTTCATACATTTAAATATATTGAGTGGCAGTCTTTAATTTATATTGAGGCATTGTTATTCATGGTTTAGTATAAATGTACTATAAATGACAAATTGGTATATAAACTTGTTGCCTTTATTGTGTATTAGGTTCCAATAAATTGAATGTTTTTGGTACAGAGCTTATACAGGGTGGGGCAGAACTGATTGAACAGTTTTGGGGCAAAATAAAAGAGTAATGGAGGTACATAAAGAAGAAAGTTTATTTTCCTCAAGATTAGCATAACATACCATTTAAAATACTTATGTTTTGAAAACAATATCATGAAAATGGGGTTTGTTAGCTGCATCACACTGTTGGAGTCATTCTTTGAAGTTTCCTACAGCACATTCACACATATGGTAAGGTATGGCCATAACCTCTGCTGCAATAATCCATCCCCTTAGCTGTGGTACGGTGTGAGGGCAACTTCTGAACTTCTTTTTTAGATGTCCCCAAAGAAAGAAATCGCAAATGCTCAAATTAAGTGACCTCACAGGCCAGTGTAAATCACCCCTCAGAGACACCAGACCTCTGGGAAACATGTGTTTCAAAACATTGGGTGACATTCGGGCTGTGTGAGCTGTAGCCCCATCCTGCTGGAACCACATGCTTCATTTTCAACAATATTTTCCATCATGGGCTGCAAGAAATTTTGCAACATTGCAGCATAGCGATCGGAATTCACTATCGCGGTTACTCCCTCCTCCGAAAACGACTCCAACAGTGTGTTGCAGCTAATAGCCCCCATCTTCCAGATATTGTTTTCAAAACATAAGTATTCTAAATGGTATGTTATGCTAACTTCCAGGAAAATAAACTTTCTTCTTTATGTACCTCCATTACTCATTTATTTTACCTCAAAACTGCTCAATCAGTTCTCCCCCACCCTGTATATTGAGAGGTTGAGATTGTATTGACCTTTTAGGCAATTAGAAAGATTTACCACCATAATACGAGTATTCTAATTAAAATATTTAATTTCAATCTTTAAATATGTGAATTTAAAACTAGAAACAAAACAATTACAATTATAAGACTATATAAAAAATAATTAAATGCAGTGAATGGATATAAAATATTTGAATTGTGCACACGTTTATTTCAAACAGTATTAGATTTTCTCATAACTTAAGTCTTGTTTCAAGTTGTATGAGGTTTGTTTAGTTATCGTTCAGTTTACGTTTAGTATTGGTTTATTGGTCTTAATTAAATGGGCTCAGTGCAGTCAGTCACTCAGTCACTACTAGTCAGTGTGTATAGAAGGTAGAGTCTGGTAGATTTATAGGACATAAAACTAGTGGATCGATTGATAGTGCTGTGCACTGTGCTATCAGCTACCTATCTGTTATGTGACTCTTCAATGTTTAGAAGATCTGCATTCCTGAAGTATTTTTGTATATTGAAGCCAGTTGAATGGTCAATATTTAGCTTATTACCTTGCTCCATACAAACTTTACAAAGCTAATGAATAGACATAGTATCAATGATTGTTTACCCAAAAATCCCTAAGTGGTAAACACCACCTTGGCCTGTTGGCCATTATTGAAGGCAATTAGTGCCCTTTTTAGCCATCCATTATGATCCATATACTGTTATTGTTAGTAGGCTAATTGCAACATAAAAAATAACACATCAAAAAGACAAAAAAGTTGAAAAAATCAAAAAAATCAAATAAATCAAAAAAATCATGAAAAAATAAAAAAAAATCATTGATTTTTGATTTTTTTGATTTTTAAAAAAAAAATCAAAAAAATCGCCAACCCTGCTTTAAATTCAAACACTAATGAATATTGAACACTACTTAATTATGCTTTTAATTAACAACTATTAAGCTTTTAATTAAGCAAATTTTAATTTTTGTACATAGCTTGGAATGATCTGTGTGTGTCCAATTCAAGTTGTGACGGAATTAGTTTTCATGTGTCTAAATCCATTTCTCAACTTAATCATCTATTAATTTATTTACCACTTGAAATCAGCGAATACAGGTATACTTGAAGGATTCCTAATATATTCACAGACGTATTTAAAAGTCTCAAACCATAATATTCTTCCTATACAAACAGTTATTCACTATTTGGTAGAGTAAGGTCAACTGTCAAATTCGACACATTTTTCGATGATCTCACTGGGTAGTGTGCATTGTCTCTCTTTGGATCTCAATATTTTCCTGCTAGATGGCCAAGACCTAGTGTTTTGGCAGTAGTTCGACACGCAAATGTACGACGTCACCATTTCAACCATCAACGAACGCATGGAACTAAAACAAAGCTTAATATAAGGGAAAAACTAGAGAGGTGACGGAATTACCCACGATGTCAGAATATACCACGTTTACCCTATTTATTATTTTTCTTTATGTTTCTGACTCTACAGAGTCTTATATATGGTAATTTTAACTTAATTTCCAAGCCAGTCAATATTACCCCCATCAGGGCTGTCATTAGGTAGTCACATTTCCCTCATTATGGGGCAGCGCCCCCCATTTGCTAACTATGACACTTTCCTCAAGTTTGTCATTTGCATATGTAACTAGAAGAGTTCTACTACAATGCACCAAAACTTAGTTATTTAGAGTTATTTTACCAAAAAATATAATTGATTTTACCACCCAGTCTAAGATACCCCAAGAGCTGGGTTAACAAAGACCATCACTTTTTTTTAAATTACATGAAGACTATGAGAGGCAGGATCCAGCAATTTATGGTGAGTGAAGCTAGAGTATAGACATGTATTTTGCATGTTTCAATTCAAGTTTAATTTAGCTAGTAAAAAAATGGCATCATTTATAAATAAATAGTGGTCTAAGTTAACCCATTTTACGGTAGCAGTCATAGATGATTAGACTCATAGCAAGGTTTTAAAAGCTTAACTTTATACTTGAAAGTCTGAAACATTGTGGCTCTAGTCTTAAGTAAAAGTAGTATCTTAATTTAATTTTAAATAAGACAGCTCCATTGCACAATGCACAGTGTCCAGTGAACCACAATTTCCAGGATTCCATCATTGAGCTGAGGAGCTCTGGTCACACTACTTACTAGCATGTTACTTATATTAGTATTTTGCATTTTCCAGTTGTAATAATTTTGTTTGCAGGTATTGCAAATTTGCACAATGCATATAATAACTGCTTTAGCTATAGTAGCATTTGTTCATGTAACACTCTTTGTCACAGATTATATATTGAAGGTGAGTTGAATTGTTTAAACCTATATAGCCTATATTGATGTAAATTGCAAAAGATTAAAATTTGTCTTGCTCCATTGAGCAGGGTTAATTAACAAAAAAATATAATTTTTAAATATTAAGTGTAATTCACCTAATTTCATCATATAGGCCTATGTCGATCTGGATGTCACTGATAACAAATTCACTTGATACATATGTTGGTATATATAGTAAAAGATGGAATCTGGTTCTTTGATAACGGATAATATTAATTTGTCATTCTGTCTAGGTAACATATTTGTGATACTTACATTGGTAGTATTGAATTTAAATATATATACTGGTATTTGATTTGCTTGACAATTTGACATGAATAGAGTTTATATTGGTTCCACTCTACCTGTGATATTTTGATTCTTCCATGATTTATGCCAGTGCAAAAATAAATTCTTCTATATAATATTTTGAATTTCATTTTTAGCTGCAGTTTTATTAGTTCTGTTGAGTCAACAAATGTTCTACACAATTTATATATATATTTTTTAATTCATAACTTTCTGAATTATGTGTAGGGATTTTTTTCTTTGTTTTTTTTTTTTTTATTTGCACATATTAACATCTTAGATCAAAAAGTTTTACAACAAATCATTCCATTTATTGATAATATTCACATGTTATTTCAGAGTTGCTTGTGTCTACCATATATGGAAGTTGTCAACCACTTGGGGCTGGTCATCAAACCTTTCCAACTTCGTGTGTCAACCCATTGTTTTAATAGACGTCTTGCCAAATGGAGCTACAATAATCCTTATTTCATCAAATTATGGATGAGGTATCATGCTTTTGAGACTAAGACCTATAGCAGAATAAATTTGTTCCTTTGGTTGGAACTGTTATTAATTCTAATTTATGTAGCAAAAAATTAGCCTTTTTAAATTATAAATGGCTTTGTGTTAGATCTGATGTAGCCTTGTAGGTGTATACAATAATACCTATACCATTTGGCAGAGAAAAAAGGTGATCACAGTGAAAAAGGGTGATCATGGTGGGGTGATTTTCATGGTGATCTTGCAAATTTCATACTCACAATCTTTGTTTTTAAAGCTGATGCATTGTGGCAAACAATAATGATCAAATAGCCTCAATTAATTAATAATAAAGGTTTGTAAAATTTAATGAGAAATTACAATCATCTTGAACACATAGAGTCATTTAGTATGCTGGTTTCGAATGTATGTTTATATTTGAATGAAAGGTAGTTTTAATCAATTTATGCCTTAAAAATCAGATTTGATTACTGTTGTCAAAGAATGATTCATACTATAAATTTTTAGATGGTGAATTGCACTTAGTTGAGCTTATTAATGATGTCATTTAAAGGACTGAAAATTTTTAAAATTACTGTTTCTCATTGCCACAATTGACCTTTGTTTGAAGTATGCAGTAGTAGACCAAGCAAATTATTCTGGAAACCCATTATACCTATTGAAACACCTGGACATGAGCTAAAATTATCAAATAAATACATACATATCTTGAAATTTTCTGAACCTATTTCTGTCTTAAATATTTTAAAGGTTATTTCATTTTTTGCAGCCTTGGAGTACTTGTGGTGTTGGCACTGATTGTTCCCAGCATTTTTCTCTTGGCATACAATGTTGTCCATTGGCTTGCCACGAGTCCCTCACCAAGTGACAAACCTGGTAGCTCTGCTGATGACACATCTAATAAGCCTCCCTTATTGCAGCCTATTGTAAGTCCTTTAGTAGTTATTATAATGCAATTTTTGTCCTATGGTTGATTTCTGTTTAGTGGTTTGTATCTTGTTTAAGAATTTATGTTAATCTTAAGTTAAATTTAAAGCTAGAGAATGTGAGAAGCTTTTAAGCCATCTTTGAAAACTGATATTTTGGGCTTTGAAGTTGTGCTTTCCATTTAAATTCTGGCATACTTATGGTAATTTTTTTGCAAAATTGCAATATAAAGTCTTTCAGTTATCTTTGGCATGAATACAGAAGTTTTTACTTTAAAATTTTAGTTATGGTACTCTGTAGTGTTAGTTACTATGCAGTTTTGCTCGGTGAAACAATTTGTATGGTAGAGTTCTTCATACTGGTTTGTTCTTAATTATCTTTCTAGCGAATTTTCTCATTTATGGAAAAAATGCGCTATTGGGCTTGCCATGGCCGTCTGTCTGTCCGTCCGTGAGCATGTTTTTGTCGATGAGAAAATGCGCTCTCTGTCACTCACTGCAGTGAGTACTGAGTTTTTTTTTTCCAGGTTCCGGGGGTGAATCTGTCTTCGGATGAGCTGCCAACTTATATCATCACGCTGCTTATTTCCTCTGTAATCCATGAGGCTGGACATGCTCTGGCTGCTGTCAAGTATTTGATCCCTTATAATTTATTGCAATTACTTACAATATCTGGGATTTATGTTTCCTGATTAATCAGGGTTGAAATCAAGGTAATCTTGATTTATAATATACCAGATCTGGATCATAGATGAACGACTCTATTTCATGTAATAGTTTGAGATGAGATGTTTACAGCCCTTTACATCCTGTACATGCAGGAAACTTGTGCAATTTAGAGTGGTACCGGTATTGAAAATCGCAAGATCATTTACATATACAAAGCTATATAACAATTCATGTAATTCAGGTACCGGTATTTGTGTTATTTCCTTGTTAAATGTAAACATTGCAATTTCTACTATTGATCTCACAAAGGTACAGCATTGCATTGTTATTGAAATAGTGACATGACAAATTTTTTCAGGGAAGGTGTTAACGTTGATGGTGTGGGCCTCATCGTTCTTTTTATTCTACCTGGAGCATTCGTGCTCCTGCCTTCTGATGCAATGAAATCATTACGGCCTTTTCCTAAGCTCAAGGTAGAGTTTACACATTCCATATTTTTAAGGACGTGGACTTATTTGCAGAATGTCTCCGCTGTCTCCATTTTATATCACTTGTATTGCCAAGTTAACTTTCTGTCTGTCTTTTCAAACTCCTATCTAACTCATATCCAGCATTTATTGTTCATTTCTAATATTTATTTATCATGCTTCGTCTGCTACGCCCTTGGATCTCCCTTTAATTTATGCCAATTCTGGTCCAAACATTTGGTTGTCACCATCTTTTGCTAATGATTCTTACATCTATTTCTGTTTGATTGCTACCTTAAGCATATATATACAGGGGTTAGATAAAAATAAGAGAAACACCTGAGAAATCCGCAAAATATATTTTGAGTATGGTGTAGGTCTGCCATGTACGGCAATTACAGTCTCAATTCTCTAAGGTACTGATTCATACCAATTGTGAATTATTTCCAAAAAAATTCTAACCCATTCTTTAGTTGAAACTCTCTCCAGCTCTTTTAAAGACGATGGCAGCGGGAATTGACTTCTGACTTGTATCTCTAAAAGCGAGCATAAATTCTGGATAATATTCAGGTCTAGTGATAGTGGGTGCCAAATAAAATGCTCAACTTCATTAGAATGTTCCTCGTGCCATTTTTTAACAGTTCCAGCTGTATGGATCGTGACATTATCATCTTGAAATATGGCGTTCCCCTCTGGAAACAGTGTTTGAATCATTGGATTAACTTGATCCTCCAAAATTCTTAAATAGTCACGACTGTTGATTCTTTCATGGATTCATAGAGAGAAATCATTAATCCGCCGGATTTCCAAGAAATAGCACCCCAGATCATCACAGATCCCCCGCCATGTTTTACGGTCGGAATGAGGCAGTCTAGATTAAATGACTCATGGCTGTCTCCAAACGTAAACTCGGCCAGTGTTTGGAAATAAGATAAACTATGATTCGTAAGAGAAAATCACATTTTTCCACTGCTCGAGGGACCAATTTTGGAGGTTTTTATACCACTTTAAACGCTTTGAAGCATTTGTATTTGAAACCAGAGGTTTTCTAATTGCAGCTCTTCCATGGAATCTAGGTCTGAGCTCTCGGCGGACAGTCTTTATAGAAACTGGATTGTATAGGTTACTATTGAGGTCTGCAGTAATTTTAACTGCCGTAGTCTTTCGATTGTTCCTCACAATTCGATTTAAGTTCCGACGGTCTCTTGCAGACAACTTCGACTTTCGGCCAAACTTGTGCTTTGCTGAGGACGTTTTTACAACAATTCTCTTTAACTTCACTTCTTGTCTGTTTGTCTGTCTGCTACAAATCTTGTAATCGAAATTTAATACACTTCTACTTATCCTATCGATCTGAAATGTTGCACACTTGCATAAAGTTGGAGACAATACATGAATCAATTGACAGAATATATAAATTTAGAAATTTAAATTTTTCAACTTGAAAAAACTAAAAAAAAAACAATTTTAATGATTCTGGATAAAAAAGACACGATCGCAGTTCTGAAATAAAAATCCATATATTCTAACGTTTCGGCTATCTACACTTTAGCCATCATCAGAGTAAATAAGATGATAATCTGGAAAGAATAGAAATTCAGATAAGAATACAGTAGTTATCAGATCAGATTTTATCTATATAAATTGAGGAAATTTGACATCTCTTGGTATTTTACGTTGATGAACGGATTATTTTGTCTAATAGCTATTGCCTCAGCTATTCTAAGGTCTAATACTTCAGAAAAAGAATGAATTACAGAGAAACAGTCAGATATGTTGTTGGGAACAGGGCTGTTATGGTCTTCAACGAAGTGCTTGTGGATACTGCTGCTACTATAACGGTGCTGTTTAAGAAGTAAACAATTTCTATTCTTTCCAGATTATCATCTTATTTACTCTGATGATGGCTAAAGTGTAGATAGCCGAAACGTTAGAATATATGGATTTTTATTTCAGAACTGCGATCGTGTCTTTTTTATCAAGAATCATTATTCGACGCCTAAGTGTAATTGAAAAGGAAGTTTTTAGAAAACTTGAAAAACTGTTGAAACTCTATATAGAAATAAAGTCCGATTTATTATTTCTACAAATAATTATGAAAATTGAAACTTTTTTCATATATTGAAAAAGAATAAAAATTATTTTTTTTAATTTATATGAAATAAAATTAGAAATTCATTGTAGATGTGTAACATTGGAAACACTGTATTCTTTAGAAGTATTGTCTTTGAAAAGTAATTTTTAAACGCATATTATTCCTTCTCGTTCAAAAGCAGTCATTACTTTCGAGATAATTCCTCGATAAACGCCAAGAATTCGGGCAGTTTCTGTCACACTAGCACCTGCCATACGAGCACCAACAATTTGGCCTCTTTGAAAGGCAGGGAGGTTTGCCATATACAGGTTATAGACACAAAACTTTACTAAAAATATCTGTGCAAGGATAAATATCAATTAGCAGCAATAATAAGAGATACAACATGAAAATATATCATGTTTTCATTGTTGATTACATGTTCAAATATTATGATATCAAAATGTCAAGTGTATTCCCTATTTTGCCCAACCCCTGTATTTACAAGGCTATTCTAATGATGTACCAACTTTATTAATTTGCATTTATTTAGGTATTAATTCAAAATTAATTATTTATGCACCGAAAAAAATTCGAAGTTTTTTACATATTTAGAAATGTTCAATTTGTCCCCTTTGTGCTGCACGGCAAACATCTAAAAGATAGCCAAACTCGTCCCACAACGTTGTCATGTGACTATTTCGTATGGAGTTACGTCTAGGAAGCTGTATACGTCCCGTCTCTACCAGCAACTCTGTTAACGTCCTGCCTCTACCAGCAACTCTGTTTACGTCCCGCCTCTACCGGCAACTCTGTTAACGTCCCGACCTCTACCGGCAACTCTGTTTACGTCCCGCCTCTACCAGCAACTCTTTACGTCCCGCCTCTACCAGCAACTCTGTTAACGTCCCGCCTCTACCAGCAACTCTGTTTACGTCCCGCCTCTACCGGCAACTCTGTTAACGTCCCGCCTCTACCAGCAAATTCCAAAAATTTTAAATTCAACATTATGCTATTGCTGATGGCGTTATTTTTCAAATCCCTCAGGGGGGACTTCTGACGCGTGTCTGTGATCGTCAGAAGTCCTATGGGATTTCGCGCTCCTAGGGGGATTGTCCTGAGCGCCCCACCGCTGAGCTCGCGGTGTCTGACTGCAGATATCAGTTGTGGGGTTGAGTTATTATGTAGGCAGGATTCCTTGCATTTCCCTTCTCTGGCTCTCTCGTGCGGGCGGCCGACGTCCCGTGTAAGCGAACTCTTGTTCGAGTGTCTTCGTTTCTGTTGCTTTTCACCTGTCCCTCCTTGTCACTTCGTCTCTTTGAGATGCTAACGCTGCTTCTTTCGAGCCAGCTTCAGCGGGCTGGACATCTGAGACCTTCCGCCCCTTGTGGGTGATGAATAATTGAGACCTTCCACCTCTATGGTGATGTTCAACATGACTTTCGGTGCGAGATAGCTAAATAGCTGAAGCGCTAGTAAACATTTGGCAACTAAACTAACTTATTTTTCATTCAAATTGTAATCATAATACGAAATTTCTTTTTTTAATTCAGTATTTTTTGTCAATTAAAAGTTTACAACGTTGTTATTAATGAGCCGTAGGAATTTTTTAGATCCTATGTGCTGGTGTTTGGAACAACATAGCACTGGCAGGCGTGGCTCTATTGCTCGCCCATCTTCTTCCTGAGTTCTCAGTGCTGCTTTACTCGCGAGGCCGAGGCGCTGTTGTCACAAACATCTTCGAGGTATGACGCAGTTCATGTTATCTAACATCAAAATATGTGTTCAAGTTATGTTTGTGGTGACTGGTGTCTGTGGTCATGCATGGAGTCAAATTACTAACGACATCTTTAAAATCCATTCCAATGGTTTTCCTTTATACAATTGACGTGGTGATTTATATCAGATTTCTCCTGACGATTTCTTTGGCTCAGATTTTGGCTGTTTTTTCACACAGAATTGCAATAATAAACAATTGAATTATTTTTATCTAATTAGAATATTCTTCCTCGCATACCATCAAAGTTTCCGAGTTAATTTCCGAAATTTGACTAATAATATTAGACATTTTTCTCGCAAGAATTCTCCAGCTCGAGGACCTCGCGGTCTCTTCATTGAAGATATCATACAAGACGTGAACGGGTGCGCGGTGAAGGACTCACTGTCATGGCACGAATGCCTCTTGACAAACTTGATGGAAACACAACGCGGCTTTTGTGTACCAGATTCTGTTGTGTCACAAATGGATGAGACCATTGAGCACGGTAAGATACAGTGTATACCAAGGAAAAGCCTAATATGGTTAGGCACACTGTGAAATTAAGGTAAGATCGCACACGGTAAGACACGGAAAAAAGCAAGAGAACAATCATCACGGTAATAACAAATTGGCAATCGAGTGGCCTAATTTGTTGATTTTGGTGGATTTCAATGCCTGATTTCAAGAATTGAGCATCTTTGACTTTGAGCAAGAATTGAGCATCGCGCAGTTCCGCATTTGCCAATGTGAGTAAGTATTTTCTGTCCTGCGTCTTCTAGATGCCAAGCTGTATTCTATTCTTTATTATTTTGGTCATTACTACATATTATAACTGGTCATTACTATTTGATAATCACTCCATCCTACATGCTAAAGTACAGTTGCATGAAATCGATGTAAATCTTTCAGATGTATTTTTGTTACCTGAAAATATAATTATAAACAGATTTTAGTCATAAGCGTTGAAGTGTTTCCATTTTGGCTATTTCTTGACATTGTTAATTTAAATTATATTCAAGGACTGTATCAGATTTTGGGGCTTAAACTTCATTTTGATTTCGTTATTTAAAACTGGGCAAAAACTAGTCCATGTTTGTAAATTGTTTGAACTAAACTAACAACAAATTATTCGTATAAATAATGTTTTCTTAATTGAATTTTCATCAAACCTGCTACGAAATGTTAATGTATTGTTGAAATATTGTTAATAACACAGTTAATATATAAATGAGCTTTGTCTGCACAGCTGCAGTGGGTGCTAGTGGTGCAGTCACATGCTGCCGGAAACCTCGTGCAGAATCTGTCGGCAGCGATCATCTCTGCTTTGAGCTTCTGACAGACGTGAGCGACGACGACGCGCATCTGGTGCCCATGCATCCATTTTCCTGCCTGCCTGCTCGGTCTGCTCTCTCCCGCAGGTCTGTTCCTTGACCTTTCTAAGTTTCCCCACCAATGTATTAATTCGAAATCCGTTTAACCTCGGTTCTGATTGATCTTTTAATTAGGCACGTTCAATGTATCTTGTTTGATGCAGACAAAAACGTATGCAAAATTATGAAATCAATAAACTTCAACTTGGGATTATTTTTGTAATTAAATGAAACTAAATGGCTTGCGAATTCAGTGGATGGATCATTATGAACAAAATTATTATCAGCCTTTTTATCATTCATGGGCTATTTATAGCTGTATCGGCACCTTACTGATTATTGTACCGAATTATTATAATTTTAATTTTGCTCCTAATATCTGGATCCTAATTTAATTCATCCTTTCAACGCTCATAGTAGAATAGAAATACTTCACCTTGTGCTTCAAACAATATTGCTTCATTAACTAGTCATGCCACTGATATTGCCTGCTTCCAATATCACTGCTATTGTAAATTCAAGTCGATCTACACTTATAAGAAAAATGTGCTCTATCGGTCTTTGATGGCATAACATATACCTGTATTGGTGATGAAAAACATATTTCACATTGCAGCCCCGTGGTGTGCAAAGGCACAACCGAATGCCCGACGGACCATTACTGCTTAGCGCCGTCTGTGGGAGCCGAGGAGCGTCTCCTGCGTATTGCCAGGACTCCCATGAGCAATGCATGGAGAGTCCCTGCGGTTACGGAAGCGTCACATGGACAACGCAAGCTATCAGATCATCACGCCACTGCCGACCACGATGGCAACGAGACTCTCATAACGTCGGAGTTGAGACGTCAGTTACAGGAAGTTAAAGGCAAGATAGCGCAAAAAATTGACCCATATGTAAACACAAGGAGCCTAAATAACGAGGAATCGCAGGATTCACCATCTCTCGCAAAGGGAAATGATTATGCCAAATACGATTATTTGGTTGAAACCGATGATGGTCATACAGATGATGTTGAGGCTCTACCCCTTTTCAACGACGTTCTTTATTTAGGGTCACCTGCTTTGCTTTTCCAAACTGTTAAAGTATCTGATTATTTGCCTAGGAACAAATTTATCTCTCTTGGTTGGATTGAAGAGTTACAAGAAGTGTGCCTGTGTTTCGTAAAATTCTCGGGTGCGTTAGCACTGATGAACATGGTGCCTTGCATAGGCTTTGACGGTCAATTCATCGCCGACACATTAGTTGAGTGGAGCTGTATTGGGAGGTGTGATCGCAATGACGTCCGAATCATGAAGGCAGTAATAACTGCCGTGGGCACAGCGCTCATTGCATTGAATATCCTAGTGGGTATTTCTTCACTGAGTATAACTGACGCACCGCCTCACACGTCTTGACGTATCGCAACGACTACTTAAAAATTGTTTTAGGACTCGTTAACATAGCTCGTTTTTATGTCATTAATCATTGATGAGTGGTAGAAGAGGATTGAGTAAATTCCATTTTTAAGATTTAACAGTTTCATTTTTAGCGCATTTTATCATTTATGGAAAAAATGCACTATTGTGCTAGCCATGCCCGTCTGTCTGTCTGTCTGTCCGTTCGTGACCTCAAGTTTTCGTCGACGAGAAAATGCGCTCTCTGTTACTCACTGCAGTGAGTACTGAGTTATATTTTTTGACTAGTTTGAGGGGCCAAAGATCTCATTTAGACTACGTCACAAAGTTATTTCAGGCCTATCCTCCATCGCCCTACCGACTTGCCTTGATTAACGATTTTGTCAAAGTGCCTTCCTATAACCGCCGATTCTGAGGGCAAATTTGATAGATGGGTGAAGAATTCATCTTTATGCTTAGACCCAATATTAGTCTCGTACTTTCAAGTCTGTTTTAATTCGTGTCTAAACATGATCCTCTAGTTGAATAAACATTTTGAAATGTAAAAAAATTTATCTGTTTAAACGATATGAATATCTTTAGTCTATGATAACGTCGTTAGTTCTCTTAAGAACTGTTCAAAACTGCAATTTAGACCGAACTGGCCGGCATTCTAGTCGTCTTACCAATAAATTAGTTTTAAGACTAAATTAACCCACGGTTCGGTCGATATGGGGCAATTTTAACTGAAAATATATAATGCTTCATTATTGCTCTCTTATGAGCGTTGTTTGATACACAATGTTTTTTAATTACCTTTCTGCCTCTTACAATGGCTTTCGAGGCTGAATAAAATAATGTTTTCTAATCTACTATAATTAGTTCCACAAGGCAGTCGCATCCTTGAACAATTTAATTTTTTTCTTTGAATGAAATAAAAATCATGTAAAGGTTTATTCGTAGAACAGAAGCCTGAACACCAAGAAACAAAAATTGGTGAAAATTGCAGCTGGAATTCAATTATAGAAAACTATTTTGATCAAAAAAAAGTCATCTTATAATTAAGCGGCATTTTAATAGTAAAACAATTCAGCCTGATGTTACTTAAATCTAGAAGAAATTGTTAGTTGCAACAGAGAATGGCAGTGAGTTTGATTGACAGCAACTGAGGACTCCTTCCCAGAGCTGAAAAAAGCACCACAGTTCAGGATGCATTTCACGTCCCTGAAGTTTAAAAATCCGCTAAGAGGCACAACTAATGGTACAGACTTCGATGCGCGATCGACTCCATTAAAATATGCATTAATTGCATAATTAACATTAAATCCTTCAATAGGCGAGGGAGTGTAGTAGAAATCAGTTTTCTCCTTCAAAATCGCTGAATAATAGTTAGCAGGAATTAATTAAGAATAGAGAATCATAGGTTTAGCTACACCCAGTGACAGTATAATTAAAAATCATGGTGGTCGATAGGGAGTAAATCGGAAACGCTGCTTATTTCAAGTCGGGACAAAAACGACTTACCATTTAGGTTCTAGTTGCGCAAGGCTAATGATGAACAAATGAAAGAAACCATAAAGCAAATAATTCTTTCATCAATCACCTTGATATTCAAGGAGTAACTAAATCAAAGCACGTGTAAGACTTTCTACGGGCCAAGTAAGGACGGACGATAACATTCGACATTCACGGATCCATAATGACAAACTAACGCCTCTACCAACATCGCTCTATATATCATTTTTTCTTTTAGTCAACATTCTCCTAACAGGTACTTGGAAGAGGAAAATTTACTAGAGGCACTAATCCCGAGGTCAGCCATAGTTTATCCATTGCTCATCGTGTAGATTACAGAAGACTGCAGGTCCAGTAACTGCGTGTGACCGGCGGCAGGTTCGTTACATGACACAGCAACGCTCCTCGCCCTCCAGGGTGCCTCTCTGTAATAAATGCGTAACATTACTTCTGGTAAAATAGATAGCTTCGGCACTTCTATAATTAACTAATGTTTCCTAATATAGTGAACTTAGAACACACTTGTCATTATTAAGCTGCTTTAATTTATATTTTCAATTGCATTAAACGTAGGCTTTTACTCTAATTTGTACCGGTGTCAGGGATCCGTACGGCCGCTCTAGCGAAGTAGAGTAGGACACCATCACCTTCTTGCTTTCACGTTCGGCAACAGTCTGGAACAAACAAAAATCCAAGAAAAATAAATAGCATAAGTTCAAAGAAAAATTAAGCGGACGATTGGAAGTTTTTAATAAATTATTTCAATTTCTTACCATACTTTAGGTTATACATTTGCAATGCCAGAACGACTTAGATTATTAATGGCCATTTGAGCGTAATTGTATAATGAGAAATAATTACACCATAAAAAATTGATCGATAACCGTTCAAGATTATATAGGTAACTGTTTTACAACTACATGAGCAACCTGCAGCTAACAAGTTAAATATATACAAACGCTCACTTCGCCCTCATTGTTGATGAGTCTGGTGGTGATGGAGTCATCAGTAGGCCACTTGAGGTTCTTCATGACGAGAGTAGTGGGCGGGTCGTGCGTCTCTCCAGCGTCACTGCTCCAGACGGTCGCAGTGGCGTCGGGGGCCAGTTTGTAGGACCTATGGAACTTGTAGACAACAGGGTTGATCTCTTCGTTCTCCGTGGTGCGGATCAGCTGATGCCCACTCAGTGAATACTCCTGAAAAATAAAAATAAATTATAGGGTAAATTATCAGATTTTGCGCGGAAAGTTATCAGTATCAGATAAAATATTTTTATTAATTAATAAGCTTATACACTAGAGTAACGATCCAGCACCTTGAAGATCAAGTCAACCTTGTCATCATAACAAATCTTCGAACACAATTTTATATTTGCCTTGAAGTAATTTCTAATATCTCAAGAAAATGGCACATTGAAAATAAACGAAACTCAAAAATCCAGTTATAAAATGCAAACAGAAAACTATCAGAACAACGTATTATTAGTATTCTGCACGTTTCCTCGGTCTATAAATATATAGCTTTTAGGTGAATAACAATATAATATATAAATTGCCGAAATATTCAATTCAATATTGAAGTAGTATTCAACAACTTTAATGAAGTAGATTAGATTAACCCGAAATAAATTGCTAAATAATCCATAAGATACAAGAAATAATAAGTTTCATCGAAACCTTTTCCCTGCTACCATAGCAACTTGTAAATTAGGAGTCTTGCGAATGAAAGGAAGATCTGATAAGCTCTCATTCAATAAAGAACCTCCTGCTAACTTCGAATTGTAATAAGTGAACGTAGATGTTGATCCGGCAGTCAGTAACTCAGCAAATCGGCAACTCTAATTTGCTGACTACATTTTTATTCAAGATAACTAATAAATTCTTAACTATGCCAAGTTTAAATTTTAAATCGAAATCCTGTGGAATGACCGATTCCACAACTCAAAATTAAATCCGGTTCAGGTAATATCCCGAGACGATGGGCATTTGGGATACGCGCTCAAATAGCCCTACAAATGTTAAAAACGACAATCATGATACAACTTAAGTCGGGCCGTGAAGAGATCACGTACACCTATTACTATTAGAATTGGTACCTACAATACCGTAATGATTTGTAGAATCAATTTCTTTTCACAAAATTAAATTTCAACCTAGATGATCCTAATTACTATATTTGCGAATACAGCTGCGTGTTTAGCCACGCATTTTATTATTTGGCCACATTATTTAGAGTAAAATTTATATGAAACTTCCACCAAGGAAATTTGGTGACGAGTTTCAAAGATATATGTAACATTATAGAACTGAAGGAGAATCACATCACACTACTCATTCGAGAAATCACCTCTTAATACATGAGAGAACTGAAGTACCCAAGGAGAATCACATCGCACAACATATTCGAATGGATTTCTCAGAAGACGTGATCTCACCTTATCGCCCTTATTGTGGAGCTTGATGTACTTGCCATCGGGATCTTCCTCGACTATATGCACGCTGCCAGTGGCCGTAGCAGTGCTCTTCAACTCGGCTTTGGTGGTCTCTTCATCCGAGAACATGGTTCGCTTCCTCTTGACGCCGCGCAGGGGAGTCCCTCCTCGCACTGAAATGCGCTCCTGCACCGCTGCCGTGGTACGGCCAGGAGTGATATTCAGCCTGCGCCAAGAAACACAAGCATTCAGTAACCATTTATGTTTTTATTACTTGGAACGATCACAGTGAGATACAATTTAAATTTAAAATCAGGAGAATACTTTTTAGGTCTGTAGCGCCAATGTCTGTATCCCAAGTCACTCTTACCAATGTGAACGCACCATAACTTGACCCAGAAGTTCTGAGGCATGATCTGAAACGTATTCCTTTCACCCAACTGTAATAATAACAATAATTAAGCAGCAATACTAACTGAAACCTATAAATGAACGATCCTACCTTTCTTCCTCAGACTCGAGCATCCTCCTGTAAGCAGCAATCTCCATGTCCAAAGCAATTTTGATGTCCATGAGATCCTGATATTCCTGCAACTGCAGAGCCATCTCCTTCTGCAGGCGGCTGATCTCTTCTCGAAGCCGCTGAAGCTCGGTGAGCTGGTTGCCTCGCTCAGTCTCCAACAGGTTCTCCAGCTCGTTCACTCGAGTCTGAATAACAAATAAAGTACATTTTTGTGATTGAATTCCATGAGGTTACCGGAAGTCTTAATATGAAAAATAATGAGCACAGCGATGTTTTTTTTATGGCAATGATCAGGGTGGCCTAAATTGAAGCGAGTATTAACGGTATATATCGTTTAACTAATAAAGAGTTTGACATTTTAAAATACTTGATTTTACAATGCAAAGGCTGCTTCCTATGGAGAATATGTTCTTTCATTAAATGTAATTTTGTCGGTGGCATCTAGTGTCATAATACAGCAATGGACCACCTGCTTGTGCAATGTAATTTGGCCTCCTACAGTCTCCAGTGACAAGACACGAAGCAATGAGGCACCAGCTTGCGCCATATAATTAATCCTGCGGCCTCTAGACACAATACAAGGAAGCAACAGCGACGACGCACCTGCAGAGCGTGGTTGGTGGTCTCGAGCTGCGCCAGGCGCGAGCTGAGTTCCTTGGAGCGGTTCTGCGAGTCCCTCAACGTCGTGTTCATGAGCTCAGCGTCTCCACTGTACAGGTCAGCTCGACGGCTCAGCTCATCCAACTGTCAAGCGACATATTATTATTACTATTGACATATGAGCGACATTAGAGAGGTGCTTTATGAGATTTATAGATAATTTTCATCATGATAAAAGGTTCCTCATTAATATTTTGGGCACTAATCTGAATAATATATACATTCAGGATTCAGTATTTGGAAAAATTTTGGTAAATTCAGCATTTGGAAAAAATTTTATGAATGATGTAGGAGTCTGGCGAACTTTTCTCCTCCGAAATTGTTTAAAAAAAACGTAATTGCAAATGTCTTATGAATATCAAGTAAAATCAGAGATAAACAATCTACCCAGTCATTTCTGAACAAACAATAAAGTAAACTAATAGCAAATCATAGCTAAGAACACTTGGCAACTAATCGCAATGAACAAGATTAGTGCCGCATGAATGACTGATTTCCATCGAAGTATTAAACTCGATCTTCAGGTATTGAAGAAATTTATATTACATAATATCCAAGATCACATGGTAATTATTCTCGCTTGACAAGATTAGTTAGGAAGTTAATAACCTTGGTCTTGTAGAGAGACTCGATCTGCAGGTATTACATAAGTTTATATTAAATAATATCCAAGATCGCATGGTGATTATTCTCGCTTAACAAGATTAGTTAGGAAGTTAATGACCTTGGTCTTGTAGAGACTTGATCTGCGGGTATACTCATTCTGCAGGTACTACATAAGTTTATATTAAATAATATCCAAGATCACATGGTGATTATTCTCGCTTGACAAGATTAGGAAGAAGTTAATAACCTTGGTCTCGTAGAGAGACTCGATCTGTGCCCTGTTCTCAGCGAGTTGGTCCTCGTACTGCTCCCTGAGCTCCTGCAGGACATCGTGCATGCGAGCCTCGTACTTTTCCTTCAGCTCGCCGTCGATCTCGGAAATCTCAACCGTCTTCCGCTTGTGTATCTCGTTCATTTGTTGCTCATGAATCTGTAATGGCATGGCAATTAATTCTTTTGTATTTGTTAATTGCTAATAGATAACATAAGCACAAGATGAATCCTCTACAAATTTTTACTTTTTTGCTCGAGCATCTTTGATTAATATTAAATAATTTCTATACTATTTCTCTTTCTTCAGTAATTTGTTACCTGTAAGGAATTGACGTACAGGGGAGCCAAGTGCCAATCAAATCACAAATGTACGTACAGGAATTGAAATTATCACACGATATATAAGGTGTGACACCTTGAGACAACAATACGTACTAAATTGACAGTGTCATACATACATAAATATACATCATACTCATCCCACCTGAGTTTTGAAAGAAAGTTCCTCCTTAAGCCCTTGGCATCTGTTCTCAAGGTCGACCCTCATAAGGACCTCGCCCTCGAGCTGCTTCTTGGCCTCGTCGAGCTGACGCGTGAGGTCAGTGACGCGGGCACGCAGCTCCCTCAGCTCAGCCTGGAGCTTCTTGCGCTCGTTGTCGCTCTGACTCAGCTGCTTCGTCAGGTCATCCACCTCCTCTTCAGTCTTGCTCAGGCTCTTCTGACACGCCGTTAGTTCGTTGTCCTTGCGCACAAGCCTGTAATGAAACCATATTTCAGTACATTTCGGAAACATGTGCTACTGATGGATCGTCTCTGAAATGGAAATCTCTTAAATACGAGCGCGCAACAGCAAATCTAGCGCGGAACCAAACTCAGAAGAAAAGAGTTTTTCATAACATACAAGGACATTATTAAAATGATCAGTTCTTATCAGCTTAAAGTTTGTTTCTGTAGCTTCCTCAATTAAGTGGCTCCATGACTATAGCTCAATATAATCGATCGTTTGAGGGCAACTTAGTAAGGCATTGCAGTATAATGAGTGGTTTCTCAAATCTTCAAAAATATTTGGCTAATCGGGATATTATTTTGCCGTCTTGAAGCAAGATTGTGTATTATCCTATCAATATATCTCTATCGCTTACACACCGGTAATGTCTGCCAAGCAATTATGTCATTTATGCCGATAAATAATCAAATTTTCGTCAAATTTATGGATATATTTTGTCTTCCGGCTCAGTGGCAAATAAGTGTAAGTGAACTCTTGGATTAATATTGCCTCAAATTAGTCGAAAACTCTACCGCCAAAACTAACATGTCTACCGTCATGAGAAAACACCATGCATGACACGGGCAGGCAGGGTTAAAAATGATGCAATACGGTCGTCAGACGCCAGGGAGACAGGGAACGGATGAAGCTACGCTAGGCGTGTATATAGGACCGAACATTGTACAACCCGTACCGTACACAAATGCGTACGTACACTATGACTGTACAGGACGGCGGCTTCGCGGTAGTAGAAAAACAAGCAAACAACCAACATCCTGCACAGCGTGTCCACAACCCTGCCATGACTCACGTCTCGTGTTGCAGACGCGAGTGAGAGTAGTGAAAGAGCGCACAGAACTCAAGTCAAGTGAATTATAAAAGTGTAATAAGATGAACATTAAAATATCTGGCCAAAAGAATAAAATTATCGGGCGTAAATAGGTATCAAATCCTTCATCCGACCAGCGATGTAAAATACAAAACTAATGTTCGCCAAATTATCGAAAAAATCGCATTATATTAAACTGTGTTGTGTTACATATTTTCATTTATAATCAGATAGAGATCATTACAGAATTGACAGAGATCACACAGTGCCATGTTTCCGCGCGTTATTTCTCGCTGCCAGAAACCACCACCACCACTTTAGTATATTCAAGTCTTGGGTCTATAGAAGTGATTAACATCAAGTAAAATCAAATTAAAATTTGAGATATGGCTTCAAATTCAACTTCATCAAGTATATTTTATATTCAATTAAATTATTTATTATGAACGTCTTTAAAACGCAAAAAAAAAAATAGTTTATTAAATATTTGAACTTCTCATACAGCAAATCGACCTGAATTCTTTAGACATAAATTAACAATTCTACTAAGTCTGACATAGCTCACACATACTAGCTATAGTCTTATTAGCAGTACACGATTTTCATTCATTGTGCATGCCATACCCAGAACTGTATGGCGACGTTAGGCAACTGACGCTATTTCAAAGCGCAGGAGAGCTCCCCCCAAGACACCCCCGCACTGAACCTCACCAAACATTACCGGCCGGCATGCCATGATGCCTGCAACGTACGCACGCACAACGGTCTACCGCGCGAAATAAACGACACGAATATTTTTTACAGCACACAAACTACTTTGTGATTCAAATTACATGGATGAATATTGTCCAGCGAAAAGAGATGATCTTGTTATCGAGTTTCCAGATCTAATGACAAGATCACTGATGAATCGAGCAGTGTTTGTTGCACCACCTCGTCAAGTAGGCAAGCGCGACACGCCCTAGACACAGCAGCTATGTATGACGCGTGCAGTACACGAGATCACCATAACGGCCAACGCATCAACGAGCCAACATTATTATTCCACACAGGAGATAAATATTAGACGAAATGTGGAGCGATGCGAATGAAAGGAAACCAAGCCGTATTACATATATTATGGTTTCATTTCATTATACATCTAAACCTTATATATTATAAATTCTAATTCACAAACCTGACAAACTACAATAATTTCGCAGTAAATAAATACATTATATAGTACAGCAAGAAGGAATGCAGTGCTATGTTTCTTCGCGATACTTCCCGCTGACGAAAACCATCACACTCGAGTAATATAGTTATTATATATATACATTTAGTTAGCAACCATAAACGTGACAAAAATGTTTCATGTAGAGAACTGTTGAGATGTTCAACAAGGCAGAAGTATGCATGGTTAGAACTTGAGCACTTCATGAGGCAGGTTCATTTGAAGTAAACAAGCATACATACTTAGCGTCCTACATAAAGAGAAACAAAGCCTTAGAACATATATATAAGCAAGCGAACTATGAACGTGAGGCGGCGAACATTTCTAAGGTTTTTTATACACAATCTTGATGCGTTGAATTTAGTGAGACAATAATGAAGCTATCTAGCATCTAGACACATCACAGCCCACAATAGTGATGATATCAGCAGCATCTAGACACGTCACAGCCCACAATAGTGATGACATCAGCAGCATCTAGACACATCACACCCCACAATAGTGATGACATCAGCAGGACCAAGGGAAAGGACCAGGAGAGATAGTGAGAGAAACGTTTCTTTTGTCCTTAATAGCTATTAACATCTTCAGTGTATTCTTGTTAGGATACATACCTCAACACCAACACACAGAGACTCGTTGCATATCTTGCGTCCTATATCGTATTCTAAAATATTTATTTAATATGAAGGATGATATTAAGTTGAATATGAAGACAGCGAGGAGTTACCGCAGCAAGCCAGACTCGGGAAGGAGAGCTAAAAAAAGCAAACGCGCTGGGTCAAGGTCACCGGCGGTTACACCTGCGACTCTCGCGTTCATGAGCGTGAAAACCACTACCTATGTTCGTCATAGTGTTATATTAATTTGTGACATAACACAAAACTTCAAGATGGGTTCAAATTTCACACTGGAATAAAACTCTGAGACTTGATCATAACATAAAACATCTGTCATTTTTACGGCAAAAATACAATAGAATGCGCACTAAAGCCGAAGCATTTGTGAATCCCTGATGACTATATTAAGCGTGAATCTCTCTAGAGTCTAGACGATGAGATGTAAATAAAGTTCGCACCAACAGTGGAAGCTTTAAATGAAATTATACCAGAGTCAATTTATTTTAAAAAATTCAATATAACGATAACACACATCAAGAGCGCCCAAAACCAAAGAGAAACTGACTTGTAAACTTTCTATTCATCAGCAAACCTAAGGTAGACACTAGTAATTGGAAGGTTGCGGGTTATGGCTGGCATGGCATGGGTCGTAGACGTAGTGCAGTCCAGTGTTTGGGACCGAGCGTGTGGACAGAGTGTGTGGATTGAGTGTGTGGAACCGCGTGTGATGGACCGAGTGTCTGGACCGCGTGTGTAACCGCGCGTGCGTGGCGGCATGTGTGTGACCGCGTGTGCGTGGCGGCATGTGTGTGACCGCGTGTGCGTGGCGGCATGTGTGTGTAACCGCGTGTGCGTGGCGGCATGTGTGTGACCGCGTGTGCGTGGCGGTGTGTGTGGCACCGTAAAGCGAGCGTCAGGCTCACGTCATCTTTGCTTATAGCGCCACATCGATGACGTCATTGCGGGCTACAGGGCTAACTTGCCGTTTGATGAACCAAATGTGGACTAGCTGCATGATATTGGGAGCAAAAAGAGGGCAAATTACAAAATAATGCAATAAAACCTTACTCAATATGGGAATTTCCATCCTCATGTGTCAGTTTATTTCAGCGCGAATTCAGTTTTTAGCGCGAATGCGCTAAAGAATATTTAATCATACTTAGTGAATTTTCTCGCCATGAATTATTGAAACATTCCGTAACGCAAGGAAATAGTTAAGTTTAAAAACACTTACGTCTACGAAAAACACTCAAGTAATCCAGATTCTGTGAAATTTCCAACACACAAGAGTCAAGACTCATACCAAGAATCCAAGATATTAATTCGAGAATTCTGTGATATTCTAACGAAACATTAGAATTCTCTTTGGACTTGAAGAATGCGTACACGTCCGCTGCACGGACCAGCAGATGGCAGGCCTCATAATCGTGGCTAGAAAGTTAGATACAAATTCCCCATAGAGGTCAACCTGGGTGAAATCCAAAATTTCTTTCACTAAAAACTAGAAATGATGAATGAAGTCTTTCTTAGCTTTCAATCTTTTCATCTTCTAGAGAAATCGCAGTCGAAAACGTTGCTTTCAAGCTTAGAAAAGGGTCAGTATTAGAGAATTTTTTTCGTTGAGCCTGTAACAACGTTCTTTCAAATAGCAAAAATATATATTAATTATTATTATTAATATTATATATTATTATATTATATATATATTAATATTATATATTATATAATAATATATATTAATTGTTTAAGCTATATTATTATATAGCTTAAACTTAATTAGGAACAAGTTTACAAGAACGTAAATAAATCATTAATGATGGAAAACTAATTCCGCGTGCATTCAAGTACCGTTTCACATCATGTCTGTTCATCTAACACAAACAATTCTAGGATGAGGGAGAATTCTCTCACAATAAAGGCCAAGTCCACACAAGTTTGAGAGAGCGAAGACAACACGTCAAGCGGAAGGCATCTCCGCACAAGTGCTACGAGGTGGTCACTGTTGACATAGCGCGTTAGCACTGATCCTGTCACCGCATACAACAGTGACCAGCGCGCCTTTCGCACATTCCAAACAACGCGATTTGAATAGAAATTTTAAGAAAAAAAAAACGATCAAATAGTGCCTGTCTACTTATATGATACAATTCTCAAAGGATTACAATCGAGCAGCTTCATCTCAAAATCCGCGATCAATTCAATAGGCTCCGTGGCAACGTCAAACTCAAAGAGAATATTGAGCTTGTAAACCACTATATGTTCAGTATATACTGTTACATTAATTTTTTTCCATAACGCAAAACTTCAAAATAGGTTTGAATCTTCACAGTGGAATAAAACTATGAGACTTTATCAAATACGAACGTGTCATTTCTACAGCAAAAAAAAAATCCGCACAAAAGGCGAACATAAGCATTTATGAATCCCTGATGACTTAAATTAAGCGCAAATCCCTCAACTACCGGATTATCTGAGATTCGAAATTGTTTTGAACAGTTCCAAATTATCGTGTTGTACTACAATATATACGTGTATCATGTACTTATTTCCAACAAAATTTCTCTATTCCACGTTTTCTGTAACTTGAAAATTAATGTTCTTACAAATGAAACATTAGTAAATTAAAATTACTTCCTTGTACCTGCATTTTGATCAATCCACGTCATCTGAAGACTTTGTTCGACCCTGAAAATTTAAATCAAACGAATTCTCTGACCATTAACCACCCGTGTTCAAACAAGCTTATTCTGCCATCTAAAACTAACGTCTACGTATACGTAGACTAACATCTTCAGAATTATGCATGAAATACTTATCGTTGATTCAAATATATACCTTCTCACACGATTTCAGATCAAAGTCTCGACAAGAATTTAACAGCAAATAAAACCAAAAGTGAAGTCATCAAATCTTCATTGAAAAGTTTCTAAACCAGTTTCATTATCACTTAGAAATATGATAAATTTTCTTGTCATTCAAATTTACTAATCATTTGTCAATTTTGATAAACTTGCGTTCCATGCTGACTAATGATATACACAAGGGTTGAACATATTCGTCTATGGGCCTGAGGTGCGAGTACTTCTCAATGTAAGTCTTATCCTTGAGCCATATCGGCATAAACATACCACCAAAAATAAAGAAGAATGATTAAAATATTAAAGAGCAAAGATGCCCACGCTAGCGTGCGGGTACAGCACTAGCAATAGAAGCAGCAGGGGGGCAACAACCCCGTGAACAAACCGGTTACTTGAGACCACGTGTTGGCACTGCGGTACACAATTATACAAGGTACAACGCTACTCCACTAGTCATACATGTGCGGTATAACGATGCAATGTAACGTACGTGAGCGTATAAACAATACACAATTGAAAACGCTTTACGTGGGCATTGCAATAATTTTCTCAATTTACAGGTGCAAGTACATTGCGCAATTACGTCATAAATGAACACCAATTACATTGCACCAGTATACTTGTATACGTCATAAATGAACGCATTTCAGTGGGCTGTGGATATAAAGATGATACACGTGACGGCATGAATTTGTTTTTAATCCACCAATTTATCGCGCTATTGTGTTATTTCAGAAATGACGCTATTCAGTCATAGGCTCTAACTGTTCGTGCATTATGTATAGTGATGGAAAATAATATCTCAGAGCTAGGCGGAATACTAAGAACAGTGGTTCCTACATTCGAAATCAACCCAGCCTTGTAACTTAATCAGTTCCTAACGATTAGCCGAGCTATAGGAAATATGATTTTTTTTAAAGATTTTTCGACCCAATATATGTGCACTTGTTTATCTATAACTACTATAATTTCATCCTACTTCACGGCTCAATGCGCCAGAAGCTTTAGTGACCAATGATAAAAACGAATAGGAACAAAACTGTCGACCATTCACCGCCCAGTCCTGCTCACACATTTAAAGTAAATAAGGAGACGTCTAACAAACTACATAAGCAATAACTACAGACAATAGGTAGGCAGGCACGAGCACAAGGATTAACATTCGTGCCGCTTTAAGGGCAAACCACGCAAACTTTCTCTCCGGAATACCGCAGTCTAAGCCAGCAGTCCGTTCATTACTCACTAACTCACAAGGCCTCAGTCGGTAATGAGATGATCGAGATATATTGTCTCAGCTGCTCAATCAAGGGGAAAATGATGGCCATAAAACAAAGTAACGAATAATTGAGCTTAACATATATACTAATGAACAATGAAATTATTTGGTAAATATTTGAAGTAAATGCAGTAAAATTCCACGTTCGTTGAGGGAAATTCATATTGATATCATTCATTGATATCTTGTCTCGCACATGCAAGAGTGTTTGTGACAGAGGCTTTTAGATAAGAGATAAAGACGCTTCGTCAGCAGCAGCTCTACGTGCACATTACTGACAAGTCACGACCAACATGAATGAAAACTTGAGTAACAAAATAAAGTTAGAGTATACTACATTGAGGATGCATTAAAAATATCAACTAGGAACAACTATGTTCGAAATTAAACACTTTAGTTCGTCGGACATTTTTGTACACTTCAGACACACGCACTAATGGAAATGCAAGGGTCATATTATCCACATAGTGATACACTATTTTACGCAGAGCACCAAGCAGAAAGTATACGTAGCACTGATTCGTCCTATTGCCGAGTAAAACCGCATCAAACTGACCCACAAAAGGGCATGAAGCGCATCGCTATCTGGCCAACGTCTCGCTTATTTCCCCGAAAGTGCCAAATTTTTAGATTATAGAATTGAGCAGTGAACAATTTTGAGCTTTAAGAACCCCTAAAACGTACCAAATTGAAATGTTGCACACTGTGTGAACTAGGCAAAGGAAGATGGGAGAATACGCCTCAAAGAATACGAAAGCATGCGTTGAAAAGAGGCCGATAACATACAAAAAAGTCAAACCAAAAACAATACATTTTGCTCCATGTGAACAAATAGTATACGTATGAACAATAAAACTCGAATGCAAGTCACACCTGAGATTTAGGTCGTGGTTTTACTAAATATTTCCGGGAGTCTCACGAAACAAATATTTAAGATAAGGCGGGGTAGATAGGGAAAAGGTGTTGCTTCACGCTTAGCGAGCAAGAGATAGCGATCTGATAACACGTTTCTTATCTGCGTTTGAAGCCCAACCTAACTCACTGCTCTACATTCATCGACAAAAAGATCAAAATTCCGTTTCCGGAATAATCTACAACAATTTTAACTTATGATGCATAATTTCATTAACACTGGACGCTCTTGCTCGGCAGAACATTTATTATTCTTTGAATGGATTTTTTGTCGGGAAACGGGCTATAAGCTGAATTTTTTATTTCAAAAAAATTGCATAGGATTATTACGATTAGAAACGCAAAAATTTAAGTGATGCGAAATCAAATGATTAAAAACATCAAGTCATTGACATTCGCAATCCCAATTGAGAAAAATTCAAAGTGGAAAATTTTCAGATCGATTTATACATATAGTATTTATACATATACATATACAAAGGAGGGCAAATAGACGGAACACGTCCAATGTTACATCCGGGACCTGAGGGCGGGGTGACCTGCCTAGCGACGACTCGGAGACGGAGGACGACGAAGGCGGCGCATCAGCGTGACCGTGGACTAAGAAGTCCTAAACTCATCATGAGGTCATATCAATCAGCACTACACCAATTACGCATTAATTAACAAGAACTAATCAATAACAAAAAAAGTCATAAGCATATAATAGTAAATTCATGTGAGGTATTAGGGTATATTGTGAATACTCACTGCACTCTGAGGTCGTCGTTATCAGCCTTAAGCTTGCCCACAGTGATCTGAAGCTGCGCCTTGTCGCGAGCTGTGTCCGTGACAAGTTTCCTAGCGTCCTCCAGCTCCTGGTCATACAGATGCTTCATCGAGAAAACCTGCGGCAAATACGAGAATGGTAATTAGATTTACGCACAATTATAGTTGATTTAAATGACATATATTATGCCTAGCTTCCTTTCAGTTTAGGGTAGCATAGATGGTTCTTCTAGAAAACCTGCGCCAAATACAAGCGCGTTAACCAGATTTACACACAATTATACAATTTATTTAAATATCAATTATGCCTAGCATCATTTCATTTTAGGGTCGCACAGATGCTTCATCAAGAAAACCTGCAGCAAATGCGAGAGTGTTAACCAGATTCATGAATGGTTTCCACAACGCATTAAATGGTGCCCAACTTATTAGAATCTCCTATGGGAATGAACTTTTGTCTCTTATCTAGGTCTTCTACAACTAAACCAGTTAATATGCTTATCTTACAGCGGCTTTTGGAATATATACAACTTTTACTATGAATTGAGTATTATAATAACATCTTAAGCAATAAGGTTGCACGTAACACAGAACTCAATACCCTGCCTGAAGTGAAACTTGAATAATATAAATAAGCTGGATTCACTCGTCTTGATTATTGACAAAAGATTGACAATTATATCAAAATGAAATGAACTTAAAAATAAGAGTAAAATTTGCAGAGAATATATTTCAGGGTGTAGATTGAAATTTCTTTGGAGGAATTGAGAAATTTCTTGTGTTTGGGTAAATGTAAAATTTAAATTTATGCCTTGAAAACAGAAAAAAATTGATGCACCTCATGTTAGAAACTTGTATCAAGCACAAATAATTGGAGAAATAAATAAAAAAATTACTGCCAAATTAAAACAACCCTGATGAAAAATTCTTAAATTTATTTTTTAATGTTACTATTAATCATTCAATGGAGTGTTTAATTTAACCGACTTTATCCAAAGTAACACAGGTGCACAATCTATTCAGTTCCCTCTAATACTTGAAAAAATTACACATACTTTCAAAATCTTCAACTCAAATCCAAATTTTTTTCTTAAATTATGACCAACATATAAATACACTTCAATATCTTCAGCTAACTCCAATTTACAAAATTTTATTAAATACTGAGAAACAAACTTTTAGTTTCTTTAACTAACTTAAATCCAAATAAATTTTATACATATGCTGTGTATTATATATGTACTATTTCAATTTTGTCACCCATTATTTTTAAATAACACTTATTAATTACAACATGAATCTTCTATAGGTATGTCTTATTACTTGTGATATTTTATTTGTATTTTAATGAGTCAAAAGGTGTTTTTTGATGGCTTGGTAGATCACAAATCAGATTTTCAAAAAACTTTAATATATTAACAATATTTTGAATGAGCACAATTCAATATCAAGTAAAATGAGTTTTTTGTAAAGGGGTTGAAAATCAAGAGGGGTTTGGTTTACTGTAAGTGTAATAGGGAGAGGTTTGGCCAACATGTGCATGAGCAATGTGCTGGATATGAATGAACAAATATATGCACCAGTGGAATGAGAGGAGAGAGGATGAATGTTGTATGCATGTCAGGAGTGTGAAAGAATTATAGAGGCAGGCAGGGTGAAAATTGGTATGATTAATAGATGAACTGATAAATACATGTATAGTGGTAAAAAAAACTAGAATCCTTGCATAAATTAGGTAATTTTTTGGAATCAATCAAGTATCAGGCTGGATCAATCTTGAACATATGAACTGCCATTCTAAAATTACAGCCTGCAGGCAACTGAGATGCTGGCCTATTAAAAAATGCCTTTTAGGTTTGAATATTAGTGTAGCAAACTTTCCATTAAGTCATATTGCCTTGAATCAACCTTCATGTTTAGTTTCAGATTCAATCACAATCAATAAACACTACATGGATCAGTATCTGCACATATGGTCCAACTATCTATCATTCATATCAATTGCAATGCATGCAAAGCATGTATCAATCATTCACCAGTGCCATATTGATTGTAAACTGCATTCTCCACAGATGTATAATGTTGATGCACCTTGGCATCTTTGGGACAATGAATTGGGCATCCACAACCTATTTAGTGTCAATTTAATAACCTACATGAAGCATTAACCTACATTAACCTACAGCAATAACCTACATGAAGTGATAATGAGAGGGAATGCCAGACAATGATGTAGGCAATTTGGAATGAGCAATCTTCTCTGGTCCTGGACTATTTGAATTCTTGCCTGTGCTTGCTAAATAATCTTGGTCAAAACTGTGAAGTTAAGAAAGAATTGGCGATGTTAGGTCTTCTGATACTACCTATATGATGTTTGTACTATTTAGTTTTGGTTATTTATACAATAGCCCTATAACATATCATCTTGTTCTAGCCAAAATGGATGCAAAAAAATAGAGGAAAATATACACTTTCCAATCCAGAACTATCATCAATGCCAATAATGTTGCTGCATCACTCAAGTTGCTGGCTTTCAATAGAAACTGTGTATTTTATTAGTAAAACTGAACCACATTTTCTTGTGCAATCAAAACAGCTTTGCAATTATCATGTTATTAAACCATAAAAATTGTAGTTCTGCCAGTATTATAGTTTTTGACAAGCACTGGAGCAGTCAGTCAAGTGCAACCAGTGTGCAGAGTTTGGCAAGCTCATTGCCAATTTTTGCAAATTTTTGTAGACCAAAAATGTTGCAAGTACCGTAAAATGGGGTAACTTAGACCACTACTATTAGATATGCAAACTTTTCAAATCTTTCTATTGTGTTATGTAGCCTCAGTATTAGGCCTTTAATGCCCATTGACAAAATTTTTCTATGTCAAATAGTTTCTGAGTTGTGGGGGTTTTTGTTAAAAAAACGAAAAGTGGTCTAAGTTACCCCGCCAGTCTAAGTTACCCCATTTTACGGTAGTAGACAAAAAACTACACGGCATTGCTGCCTTGCCAGCAGTCTTCAAGATGCATTGCAAACATAATTTTCATCAAAATTCATTTCAAACACAACTTTCATAAATGTATCTTTAACACCCCAGGACCCAGATATTGCAGTAGACAATTGCATTGCAACCAAAATTACCAAATTGTTGATCATGCTTTGCAGCCTCTTCCGAATAAATGGAAACTGAAAATTTTAAAAATTGATGCAGCCACTGATGTACCTTCTTTTCCACAGTTAACATTGCCAAAGATTTGCAAACATCTAAAATGCAATAATTTCAATCATAATATGTTGGCAAGATCTTCTAGAGACATAAATTTTGATGCTGATGCATTGCCAAAGATCTATAGATATTCCACTTTCTGCACCCTACCAGGGTGCAGAAAGTAGGCAAATATCAAAAGATTATTGACAATGCATCAGCAGCAAAATTTATGCCTTCAGAAGATCTTGCCAACACATTTGGATTGAAATTATTGCATTTTAAAAACGACTTAGAAATTTTTGCAAATCTGGAAGACTGCAAGCACACACAGTACGGTTTCTGGTACATCAGATGGATCAGGGTGCAGTGAAGCTTGTCCAGAAATCAGTTGCAATGATGCAGTGCGTGGATAGTAAGGGATATACTATCAAAGTTGTTAGTAGCATTTTTGTATTAAAAATTACCCAGCGACGGATCTTGAAAATGGCTGGCAACGCTTTGGGCTAAATATATATATATTGGCAACACTGTTTGCACCCTCTGCAGTCTGCACACTGGCACCCTGGAAGTGTCAAGTGCGGCATTATTGGTCAAGTAGTGTGTAGTGACTACTGAATAGTGACTTTTGTGTTGCTGATGGTAAAGCTTTTCTGGCATTTTTGTTATTGCAACATTACTTGTTAGCTTGTATAAGTTGTATTAGTTGTATAGTCTGATTAAATAATTTGATTAGTAATAAATTTGCACATGTTAGTTAGTAAAAAGCATGAGCTTTCCAAGCTTCAAACATTTATTTTCATCAATCTGGAGTATTGGGCTGAATTCACCAAAACTTAGTTAAGGGTAAAAATTAGCATTCTTGATTTTAGAAAAAATCAAGCCAAGTAGGCTATTTACCTCAATTTATGTAAGAAAATTCAGCCACTGCCCACTGGCTACTGGGCATAGAAATGAATGGAATTGTTGTTATCATCTGTACTTCCACTCATAGAAATGAGTGGAAGTACAGATGTTTTGTCTCATTAGCAGATGGATCTTCAAAAATTTTTAAAGCTTGGAATTTTCAAAATTAAACCCTGGGACATTTTACTACAAATTTCTTTAGCATATGCATAAGCATAGAAATGCTTAAATTTATTTAAAAATACTAATGAATTAAAAGTACCTAATGATTAAAAGTAATGAGTAATGACATAGCTAAAACAACTTAATATAGGAAATAATAGTGTTGTATAGGGTAAACGCGGTATATTCCGACACATTAAGGACTCATCGAGAAATGAAAAACTATAAAAAAAAACGTATGCGTTACGTAAGTTCTGTTGCCTTCACGTGACTCTCAAAACACTTCACTACGCGTCAGCAACAATGAAACGTCACAAAATGTTGCCATATTTATTAAAAAGCCTTTAGAATGGAAACCTACCAAATCCCTATATTCCGTCATTGGTAGAGCAAGGTCAACTGTCAAATTTGACACATTTTTCGATGATCTCACCAGGTGGCATGCATTGTCTCTCTTTGGATCTCAATATTTTCCCTGTTCCCACTAGATGGCCAAGACCTATAGTGTTTTTGCAGTATTTCGACACGCAAATGTATGACGTCACCATTTCAACCATCAATGAACGCATGGAACTAAAACAAAGCTTAATATAAAGGAAAAACTAGAGAAGTGACGGAATTACCTACGATGTCGGAATATACCGCGTTTACCCTACATTGATGATGGAACTAAAACAAAGCTTAATATAAAGGAAAAACTAGAGAAGTGACGGAATTACCTACGATGTCGGAATATACCGCGTTTACCCTACCTATAATTTTTAATCGTAAATATAATTACGTAAGTACCTCTTTTTTCATGCTTTCTTCGATGGTCTCAATCTGTACAGAGAGGCGACTATTCTCGGTCTCGAGATGCCGCACGCGGTCGATGTAAGTTGCCAATCTGTTATTGAGGTCTTGTAAGTCTTGCTTTTCCCTCAAACGCGAAATTCTTGTTGGACTTAGCGGCGAACTCCGGGCAGATTTTGCTCTCGAGCTGCCAGGGGTAGGGTTTCGAGGGGTACTCGTTCCTGGAGTAGCCATGCCGCTCGTTTCGCCGCCCGATGAGCTAAACGTTGTACGAGTCGTCGTAGTTTTCTTCACACTACGAGCGGACATCCTCGCGCAAGTGGCACAACGTATCAATGAAACACGAAGTTAGTACAAGTTACAACCGACTGACTTTGAATAAACACTAGAACGCGTTGAGAATGCCGGTAACCAGCATACACAACCACACCTATCAACAACACAACGGTAACTGAGTTTCAAACAAATGAGATTGCTAATTTACCCTAAATGAATTTTTTATTACCCTAAAATTCCGGCTAAATTGAGCTGTTAAAAATCCTTGGCAATCCCTATCACCGAATGACACTCAAATTAGTACATGAAAGTGAATAATTGATTCTTCACTAATATAAAAATGAATATTGTTCGCTCTGTAAATGTAATGGTCAAATAAGAATGAAGATAGTAAAATATTGAATGCTCGACAATAGTACTTCAGATTGCAGTTTTCGGCTTATTTTGCTTGTAATTGTCATTATTGCTGTGCAAGTTTTACAGTTTTGCGGTCTACGCCTATGCTTTTCAGTCCATTTGTTAGAACAACTTATAAAACACATCAACTGATCAACTTCAGTGGGACAATACTGCGGGCGGTCATCCGGGCTGTTATATATTTCTGGCGTAAGATTTTTCGTTTTTCATGCTGTAGGTTGTAAAGAGCATGTCTGTATAGTATATACTATATATCATAAAGCTGCATTGAAAAATGTATGGAAGGCTGGTAGGCGAGACTTAAAACATGATATATTACTAAACCGAGATGTGAGGGTGTAGAACGAGTGTTAAGCTATTGCAGTTCTGGTATTTTACGCTTGCGAGTGAAGAGTCGAAGCTAATGAAAGCAACATGGGAATTCTTGACTAAAAAAAATCTTAAAGTTTTGATTTCAGCGACAGTTGATAACGCAAACGGTTGAATATAGCAATTATTTTTTATTCATGTTCTTTCACAATATTTGATAACCTAATTATTATTTTTAACCAATACTTTGTGGGGAGTTAGGAGCTTAGAGAGGAAAAAAAAACAGCTTAAGAACACATCCATGGGACAACATTTCTTCTCGCTTCGAGTCACACACATGTGGAACAGCCTCCCTGATAGCATCGTTGACGCTCCGAGTATGAACATCTTCAAAAACAGACTAGACGAAGCTATGCAGGAGCATATGTTCAGTCTTAAAATGCCTAGCAAATTACGGAGCAGGCAATAAGTCCAGCAGCTATCTCAATCAATCGTCAGTTATGGAAAGATCGGGTTCCAAAGGCCGGATCCATTGTGAATCAAGTCACGAAAAGTTCAAGAATCGGCAACAGGCCATGGGCCTATTTCTTCAACGCCGCCATGGGCCTATTTCTTCTATTCTTATTCTATTCTAGAGTGGCTGAGAAACGTTGGTTCGTACAGGCAGGCTATAGCTTTGCGCCAATGAATTTGAGGGACAACATGCAGTGGGAACAAGAGTTTCGGTACAAAACACTCAACATACATCAGTACCCTGCCGGGTACTGAGGTAGTCAACATTAATTGTTGAGGCCGAGTGCTACTTGAAAATATTTTGTTTACGGCATAGACTCTAGTCTAGTGCATCAAAAGAAACGATTTGAGTATCCTCAAAAAATCTACGTTTTTATGCGAGATTCGGCTGGAGAGTGCCGACGAAGAGGGCACCTTTGGGCTGTTGTCAGGTCGTCTGAATTGAACGTTGAGAGTTATGATAAATATTTTTACGTGCAAGGATTCCATTTTTATATAATGAAGAAAAATAAGGGTGATCTAGACAGTTGTTTGAATTTAAGAGCGTACATCTCACCCTCAGCACAGGGTACTATACGCCCTTTTGCCGGGCAAGATAGATTGCGTTTCCAAAATAATGACATAAAGTGCATCGTTATCGCCATTTGGACAAAGTCCCGCTAATTTTCACATATTATTCCATTGATTGAATTTTCCCTCTACTAAGGAGACTTGCGTACCACGTAATTTGCGGCGCGTAGCAATTTTTTGAGACTCCGGCCCCCTTCTGCTGCTAACATCAGCCTAGTACATTATACTGTTATACATCAAATTAAATGTACTTGTAGCGGCAACGGAATTATTTTAAAAAATTAAACCCAAGTAGACGGGTTGGCGGGCAAAACTGGTCACAAAAGTTGCCGGACAAGACTGGTCACAAACGTTGCCGGACAAGGCTGGTCACAAACATTGTCGAGCAAGACTGGCCACAAACATTGTCGGGCAAGACTGGCCACTAACATTGTCGGGCAAGGCTGGTCGCAAACATGGTCGGTAAAAACTGGTCACAAACGCTGTCGGACAAAACTGGTCACAAACGTGACCAAAAAGACTGATCCCGTATTTGGTCAATCGGATTTGTGGCGTGGTAGCGGCTTGTGGCGTCGCTAGCGCCAGCCACTCTAGTTCGCATTGAAGCTTCTTCTCCGAGAAGATCATAAATTTTAGGATAAGAGAGGCTCAGGCATCCCACTTTATATTTTTTCGTTGAAATTTTCAATTTTTATTCGGCTGCTTCCCTCACTTTCTACAGGATTAGGTATATGAGGTTTTTGGATGCCGTTCATATCACCCTATACCTCTTTTTACGCATATTCCTGTGCCTCATACATAAGTCTAGGTCATTGGGTACGAGTTTAGGTTCACTGGATACACAATATCGCTCCGACTCAGCTTTCAGTAGAAGCTGAAATAAAATATTATTTTCATTTCATCTGACATTTTCTGAATAATATAAGGGCAAAGAAAATTTTCTACAACCATTTATTCTGTGATTGACGTAAAGAACGTAACTGTGACACAAGCGCAGATGTTACAACGTTTTATTCACGTTTGCCTTTAGATAGCATTCGAAAAAGCAGTAAAAATATCATGAAACATATATTGCAAATTTATCAGTGAAAGAAAAATATTTGCGTTCGTTTTGATAATGAGAACAATGTAAGAAATCGAGAATGTTAATTGTTTAACAAGTAAATTTTTTAGATAGGGAGTAGGTAAATCGAATAACTTGAAACATTCATAATTTCCATGCGAAATATTTCATGTCGTTTTACCTTCATATCGGATCAGATTAAGGAAGACGTGAGTATAGTACCCATGCAGTGCGCTAAAAATGGGGCGACTTTTTTCCGAAAAGACGGGGATTTTCACGTATTTTATTGAGACGTAAATTTGTGAATCTACTTTCGCAGAGTTCAATATTTTCGATAATATCACTATTTTTTAAGTTTAAACAACATTCTAAAAGTGTAAATAGCGCCACATGGCATTCATTTAAGGATATTTAATTTTCTCATCGATTCTGTAACGAACGAGTTCTCTTTCATTCAGATTTATTTTTGGAGATCATTATACTTATTCTTTTTTTTTCAGAATATTTCACTCGTATTGGAAAATCTCACCATGAATGAGATTCAAGTTATTCAAGCTATTTACGGGTAGTCTCTTCATTTATTAGTTCATAATTATAATTATTTAAGCGCGAAAAATTTTAAAACTATTTCTCTGAGATTGTTCTACACTAATTTCAAAAATAATGTATTTAAGTTTTTTGTAGAGGTTTATGCAAATGTTCTGTGTATGACGAGGAGCAATGATTGAATCTAACCTTCTAAAGATTTTATTAATTTCCTTAGTAAATTTGTTTAGCGTTACAGTTTTTTAGCCCTGTTTGGAACTAAGAAATAGTTTAGTGTAAAACCGAATTGAATTTCTTTATTTTTATTACTTCGTTGAACCGATCGAAAAGACTGTACATTCTAAGATGATGCGCAATTTCCGGTTTGAATTTTGCCCACAAATCTCATGGGACTTATTCACCTTTTTTTTATCTTGAAGCCTCAGCAGCTTTCCTTCCTATGGCCGCTTCCGCTGTTCATAATCAATACAACTTTACTGTCGGCCAGAAGTGGCCGTCCATAAACCGCCTGTTGTTCCTGGTTTGGAAATCTTGTTCCAGCAGCTGACAAATGCCGGCGATTGTGGCAGACGAGAGGATCGCGTTACTGACGCTGGCGCTGCTGCGCCTGCCTGGGCCAATACTTTCAAAAAAATTTAAGAGATCGTAAGTTCATCGGCCAATCATTGGCGGCCTTTCGAGCAAAATCCACCAATCATAGACAAGAAAATAGGGCGTAACTACTTACGTTCATTTAGCGAGTTTTGAAAGTAAGGCCCTGGACCGTAGTCAAAAATTGTTGAGAGTTCGGAACTCCGTCAAGTGAATTTCTACGTCGTAACTCCGTCAAGTGAATTTCTACGTCGTAACTCCGTCAAGTGAATTTCTCCGTCGTAACTCCAAGTGAATTTCTCTATCGTAACTCCAAGTGAATTTCTCTGTCGTAACACCAAGTCAATTTTTCCGTCGTAACTCCAAGTGAATTTCTACGTCGCAACTCCAAGTGAATTTCTCCGTCGTAACTCCAAGTGAATTTCTACGTCGTAACTCCGTCAAGTGAATTTCTACGTCGTAACTCCGTCAAGTGAATTTCTCCGTCGTAACTCCGTCAAGTGAATTTCTCCGTCGTAACTCCGTCAAGAGACTTTCTTCGTCAAGTAATCAACGAATATTTTCGATCTAAACTGACTATAATCACAGACGAGGAATTGTTCGGGAAATTTCCTATCCGGACTTCTGGAAAGACTACGGCGAAGAAGCAGAACGTGCTCAGTCCATATAAGGCTGTGCCGCTGCTCTCGTATATAAGACATAATTCTGTAAACTCTAACTGCACGGTCGTGTTCAGTTCCTCTACGTGCTTAATGTTACCTAGGTTTCCTTAATTCTCTAAATTATGGTGTTAATTTGTTGTGCACAACCTTTGATTTGTTTAAATTTCAGTTTTTGGGTGCATGCGTTTTTTCACTTCTTTTTGATCACTTTGGCCGGCTCGACAAAACTGCCGATTTTGACTTAAACCTTCAAAACCCTCATCTTTAAACTACTAATCTCTAAACCTTAAAATTATTAACTTGACTGGCCAAGGTGGTCATTCTCTATACTAAGGTGACCTATATTTATGTTCGGAACTGCCGCGCGTTAAATTAAATCATAAATCATTACTACAATTGATTTCTACGTCTAAAAGCACTACTCAATTTGTGCACTTAATCTTAATTGATTAAGGTGAGCCTTGAGCTTTTATTAGCGTGAACTTCTGAACTA